TATTATTTATCTTACTAAATCAAGACTGCAAAATATTATTTGATGAACAATCTTTTCACATGTGTGTATTGTCATTGAGGACATCATTTTTTGATATTTAAAAGAAGTAAAATAATTGTAAATAAAAAATAGGCTAGACCTATACCTACTAGGTATATCCTATCACTAGGCAGATTCCCATGGAAGTTTGGAAAAGTGTGAAGAGGGGAATGTATTGCTTGGCCATTAAAAAAGAAAATTTTTACGCAAAACACTCACGTCACATCGGTCCTCATCGTTTTGTGGTGGGAGCTTGATATTTTATTATGTACAGTAATTTATACCGCCTATAGTACCGGTTGCGATTTTTAAATTACCAAAACACATAGCAATTGCTGAAAGCCTAGGGTAGGATAGGTAGGACTAGACCATTTGACAGCACTACTGTACACCGAAACCTTGGTCCTTTCGAGGCCAATTTTAGGTACGTACCGGTACTACAGGGACACAATTATGTACCTCCCCAGCTCAGTCCCGGCTAGTGCCCCGCTATGACCCGGCTTCTGGGGGGGCCGGGACTACAATTGACAAGTACATTAATTAGGAAGATTTGCAGAGGAAATCACCGACAAGAGACTCACGTTTCAAGCGACCCGGTTTCTTATCAGAGGCGCGGTTGTGCTATTATTACCTAAAAGATAACAGGTTTGTTAAACTGAGACAGTCACCATTGGCAACGGGAATTTTGGCTGTTGCCCGATACAGAGGTTCCCATAGTAGTGTAGAATATTGTTGAGTGTCTGTTTCATTTGATTACCACTCCCTTGCTTGTTTGTAGTTTGGTCTGTGTTGACGATGACTTGTTAATTAATTGTTAATTTGACAAGCCTGCGTCAAATAAACAGTTGGTCTGAACCGTTATTAGCGTTAGACGCGTCCAGATTTCGGACGTATTCAGGACGCATCGTGGACGAATTCTGGATGCGTCAGATGCGTCTAAAACGTGCAGCATTTATGGACGGTACTGTAGGCTAGGCTAATTAATTAAAAAATAATACAGCAGTACAAACAAGTTTCTGTCGTGGACAGCGAATGGAAGAGGTGACTTCCATGAAGTCAAGTGTACGTTTTTCTTATTGAAAAACAGCTCCATACTTTAAATTAACGGTCTAAACTCGTGCTTGTCATTCAAAAATTATCAGGCAATACATTGTTTATTCCAGTAAGCTACAGCAGTCTTTCTGCACATACAAATAAATAACATGCTTTTCCTTCGTAGGTTCGCTTCGCGTAGCCTAGCTTAGATTGTTTATATCAGGCTACGATGTATCTATGAAGCCTGCGCGCAGGTAAAATTGAAATAGTTTGTGGTGGTACTGTAAACAAGTGATGATACTGAGACGGGCGGTCTGAGGTCATGTGTACAAATGACTTTTTCTTGCTGATGGTCTCATAACTGATATTTTCCCTGATGCTTTTGGCAGAATTTCCATGCTTTATATATAAAAGAAATTCCAAACCTGTGGACTCTGATTTCCAATGCATTGTACTTGTTCTCTTGGCCTTATCAAGTTACACTTTTTTTTTTTTATTATAGGAAGATGGACCAACTAGCCCAGATGTTCATTTTGAACCTATTGTTAAATTAGCTCCTGTTGAAATCAAAACATTAGAAGAAAATGAAGAAGAAGTGTTTAGGATGTAAGTACCAATTTACTGTAATGATGACTGTTAATAAGGTTTATATAGCACACATATTCACGGCAGTAGTGCTCAAGGCGCTACGGAAGGAAGGAACCAAAAATTACCATAAACCTTAAACCTACCGGAAAAAAACCACCACACACTTCACTGCACAGTTTACAGGCAATTTGAGGCACAGGGGCCCCCTGTTTTATAACTTGCAGGTGCTCAAGTAATGGGGGTATCTGACTAGACAGATTAAGTTTGCAAGCAAGACAAAAAATAGAACTAAAACTGTAAAAGTAGCAGACAACAGATGTGTCTTGAGTGCTCTTTTGAACAATGCACCAGATTGGCATGAGCGAATATTAAATGGCAACCGCAAACTGTAATAATATGTAATTAAAATAATAATTTAGACTGCATGTTTATCCAATCCCTCAGTCCCAATATATTTAACTGATTCATCTACTCCAAAATGTCTGAAACCCTGATGAATGTTGAAATTTTGCTATTTCTAACCAATACAAAACATTGTCTTTTGCAGAAGAGCCAAACTTTTTCGGTACTTCAAAAATGGAGAAACAACAGAATGGAAAGAAAGAGGAGTTGGTGATATAAAAATTCTTAAAAGTAACAATGATGCTTCAAAATATAGAATAGTCATGAGAAGGGATAAAACGTTCAAGTTATGTGCAAATCACTACTGTAAGTCCTCTTTGTTTTTCTCATTTTACGCATTAGTGAATCTGTGTACTGTCGATGCAAATTAGTCAATAATAATAAATAATGCTTGCACTACGTAGATATTTCTAAAAAGAACTAGGAGAGCTTTAACAATAATTTTGTCTTATTTTTTAGTACTACCAACTATGGAATTGAAAGCCAACTGTGATAGTGATAGAGCTTTTGTTTGGAACACACCAGCTGATTTTGCAGACGAGGAGCCGAAAGCTGAAACTTTAGCCATCAGGTTTGCTAATGCTGAAAGTAAGTATACATTGTAAATTAAGTCCATATTTATCGACCATGTTGTAGACTTTGTTGTAGTTTTTTGATTGTTTGAAATCTGCCTTTGTTAGTCAACAGGGCTACTAGGCTAATGTTGTGTTAGTTGAT